CTGCGCAGCTATAACAGCCTTCAACCCATCTGGGAAGGCTTTCCCCAAGATTTAGTGTGTGTCCACTGAGTCAAAAGAACATTTGTGAGGTCAGGTAAAATTTTGAACAAGATGGCCTGGTTCACAATCGGCATTTCCTTTTATCTCAAAAGGTGTTCAGTGGGGTTGAGGTCACTTTTCTGGGAAGGCTTTCCATAAGATTGTGGAAATTTAGAGAGTGTCTGTGGGAACTTCTACTCATTCAAAAACATTTGTGACGTCAGGCAGTCATGTTGGATGAGAAGACCCAGCTCACAAATCGGAGTTCCAATTCATCCCAAACGTGTTCAGTAGGTTTGAGGTCAAGGCTCTGAGTAGGACACTTGAGTTCCTCCACACCAAACTCCTAAAACCATGTCTTTATGACTTTGTACACAAGGGCACAGTCATGTTGGAATAGAAAAGAACTTTTCCCACACTGTTACCACAAGATTGGAAGTGCACACTTGTCTAAAAATATATTTTATATGCTGTAGTACTAAAATATATACTAAACTGAAAAACATTTAATACATTGAAGTGTACCAGTCCTTAGACGTGGTGGCTGCAATAATTTATTTATTTATTTTTTTTAAGGCTTTTCCCTTTTTTGGACTTTGAATGCAGCAAATAACACTTCATGTCCCTTTGTGTCTACAGTCACCTCCCCATGAAGCCTATGGAAGGAGCCATGGTTGTCACCCAGCTTGGACTTTAAAAAGGCATATCTTCATTCATCTGGAATACATGGTGGATTGATGGAACTACTGGTTTACAAAAAAGACAACATTGGTTTTTGCTGTATTTCCAGCTTATGGCAAGTGAAAGAAACACAGCAATTTTGGCAAGACCAACACTTGCAAAAAATGATCTTAGCCTAAAAAAGGAAACAAATGCAGCCACCACATCAGTACTGGTAAGCTGTAATATATTACATTATTGTTTTGAACTCAATCATTTAGAGAGATGTCCACAAATGTAGGCTTACTTGCATTTGAAATATCAATCACAACTGGAAATCTTCAATAATGACACCAGAGGGCTCAATGTTGGATAATGGAGCTTGAAAATTGAACAAGGGCAAATCAACTTTTTTTTTTCAATATTCCTTCATTTTGTCAATGACCACCCAATGGATTTTGCAAGGAAATAATTCAACAACTCAGAGGTCTATGCTCACCATCCCCACCCCCTCCCTCAGACATAACAATCCTAAACCAAGATTGGTAGGTAGGACTCATCTGAATACACAAGATGTAAAACCTGCTACAGATCAAAAAGTGGTTTCTTGTTACAGATTGAACACATGAACACAAATATCACTTCCCTACAGTACAACCCATAATTTAAACAAGAGAAATAAGAAACCTAATTTTTACAAATCCAAAATTCCAAGTCTTGGAACAGAGAGTTTCTTGCACCAAACGAGCAGCACATTACCAAAAATGGTGGTTTAATGACAACTTACATCTTTTTCCAAAAACACATTTGCTTTATGTAGCAAGAGAAAAACAAACAAAGAAAAATGCATATAGGACAATGTAAAATGCTGCAGCTACTCGGATGTTCAGGTACTGGGAACCTGCAGGGTGACTGACACCATCAATACTGTCTCACGGTGCTCCAAGCCAATGACTGGAGACCACTTTAATGAAGAAATGCATGTGGATTTACTAGGATTACATTTTAAAAGGTTCTCCAGATAAAAGTCAAATACATTTCTTCTACAGAGGGGACCATTCAGTGGTTTACAGCCTTCAGGTCATAAACTTCTGTGAAACACAAGGATTGTGCAAGATCTAAGCACAATAGTCTCCAAACCCCAAAAGGCCAGATGCAGCCTTTTGCTTGCCTTCATCTAGACTTTGGGGCCCTATTGCTCCCATTGATATGAGACACTTTCTCCCATCCCATCAACGATGGAGCACTATTCCTACCACTGACACCAACGATGGGGCACTATTCCTCCCACTGACACCAACGATGGGGCACTATTCCTCTCAGTGAAGACAATGATGGGGCACTATTCCTTCCACTGACACCAGTGATGGGACACTATTCCTCTCACTGCTTCAGTGATAGGAATAGTGTCCCATCATTGCTGTCAGTGAGAGGAATAGTGTCCCATCATTGCTGTCAAACGATGGGACACTATTCCTCTCACTGAGGCCAGTGATGGGGCACTATTCCTCTCACTGACACCAATGATGGGACACTATTCCTCTCACTGAAGCCAACGAAGGGACACTATTCCTCTCACTGGGGCCAGTGATGGGGCACTATTCCTTGTCCTACTGACCACAGGCATTATGTAATTTTTTTACTCCCACTGATGCTGGGGCATTTGCTACCCCCACTGGCCACTATTTGCCTCCCCTAATGTCTGAAGTACAGTAAACATGACCTTTGTTTAGAAAGTTTGGAGACCCCTGTAATAGAACAACCAATGCCAAGATGGATTGATTGTTAGGGGAAGTATGGACATAGACACGAGCAGAGTTCAGGCAGGGGATGACAGTTGTCTTACCTACTGAGCCAATAAAATCTGGCTCGTTTGTCTCAGGGTATCAGCAAAAGAACAGGTTGGAATACATGTCACAGTCCCTACCATTCCAACACTATTGGATACCCCTCCATTGGTTTTTAGACAAACATTTTAAGACTCATATAGGCTTCCCATGATAGACGTCCCCCAGTCCCCTGATCCTTAGCACTGCAATGTGGTAGGGTACTTTTGGAAACCCTCATGCTGCATCCCGATGAGGTGGGCATTCCCATTTGATTGGCAAGCAATCATTCAAATGGCCCTTAAAAACTCCACTCAAAATTTAAAGCAGAGTGTAATTCACTGAACAGTCCTCTTTTAGCACTTTCCTGGAGAACCTCGAAATTGTACACACAGGAATAATAAAAAAAAATGCATTTTACTTCTGATTTAGAGAGCTTCAGTAGTCTTTGCACAAATAACTGCAATGAAATGGTCAATAATGACTGTTTTATAGTTTTTTTTTCCCAGTACTCTCAAATGTAAAGTAATTGAAAGTAATAGAGATGAAATGATCTTTTTTTCATTAATGACTCCCCAATCCCATTAGACAACAATAAAAAGTTCATTTAAAAAAAAAAAAAAAAAAAAATAAGCTGGCTCTATTCCCACTGGACCCAACACATCTGTATTCTATAAAACAAATATACTTTTTATTGCAGGTACTTAGAGTGCATGCACAGTCAAATTTTTGTTTCGTTTTGGATAGAATGTGGAAAGGTTAAAACCCGTTTTCTGTTTTATTTCTGTAAGTGTTTCCACTTAGGAGATTGGCTCTCTATTTGTGCTGGAGACCATTGTCAACGAGGCAGAAAGTGATGGAAAAATCTTCTACCGGAGATACCTGCTCAAGTGTCAACTGGCTAAAAGGGTCATTCCCCTTACTTCCGGTTGTGTCTCTGAGACCGAAAGTGAAGAAAAATCTCCTCAATGGGACACAGACAGCAAGAAATAAGTGAAGATTGTAGAGATGGGTGAGGAGCATCATATGTGAATAGTCTTGACAATTTCAGTCAGTTAAAGAACAATGACTTTATTAAAAACATAGCTAATGCATTTGGGGTTGGATTGCCCCCCTCCCCTCCATCGGGACTAATAGTACCTCAATTGTAGATGCAATCATACACATAGCTTTTTAATCTGTACCTTCCTTTATGTTAGCCCTGAGGGGGATCCCCAATCTCCTGAAACGCCTTGGCTAGGTTTTATGTCCTACACTAATAAAGTGATGATTGCTCTTCAACCAGCTTGAGTTTCCAAGAGTTGAGTTTATGCGCCACGATCGTCCACAACCTTTGTATGCTTTAAAGGATAAGTTTACCTTTAGAACATGTTCCACCTGTTTTTAGGGTGGAACATGTAACATGTTCCCATAGTCGCCCCCCCCTCTCCCCCCCTTCCTTTGACAGATAGCATGGGGAGAAGTTTCCCCGTACTGTCAGATTTTAAAAACAGTGCTTCCGTTTGGTTCTCTGCCCACAGGGCCGCGTCACTCATTCACAAAGTTCTATGAATGAGTGCCTACAAGTCCCAACAGCCTTAGCGGCTGTGGGCTTGTAGTTTTCAATGAACTATCACGGCGCTGTGGAGTGCCGTGGTAGTTCACTGAAGCTTCCTGTCAGTATATCTGCTTGCTCGTACATCCCGTACAGCAAGAAGATATTCTGACAGGTCTGCAGGAGACCTGCATGGCACCAGCGATCTACTGGTCGCTGGTGCAATACTTTCCAGGCTCCTCTGGACAAAAATAATGAATGCTAATTTTTTTACCTGCAAAAAAACGTGCATTTATTATTTTTGTTCAAAATGTGGACTTATCCTTTAAGGGTCCTACTGCTAGGACTCTCCATGAGGCATGCAACTACAAGCCTTCTCACCACTGACAAGGTCTGGTGTTACCAAACACGTACACTACAAAGCAAGAAATAAGTGACAGGATCTTAAGCCTACTCTATCCAAAACAAAACAAACAAAATGTGGCTGTGCATACATTGAATTCATATTTTTGGTGCATTAGACACCCCTTTATTAGTTCACTGCACACCAGGTGGTTTCCAAATTTGTCCCCCTTCTCCCCCCCAAAAAAAGTTATAAGCAACATAAGCAGTATGATTCTTCTGGAATATCACACTCCTCAGTTTAATTTATGGTTTTGTGTTATTTTTATCGATATTGGAGTTTCCGAAGTGTTTCCATAGCAACAGAGGCTAAGTGACAAGATCGATATTGCTTTAGCTTTTCCCAACTTTACGCTTTCCTTCAAGTGTTGAACATAAATTAATTATTGGTATTTAAGTCCCTTTTAAAAGAAAACAAAAAAGGTTTATAGTTGAAGTCACGTTCTTCAGACAAAAAACAAACAACCACAGCAACCGAGACGCTGTAGAGGATTCAGTAGTGTACACGGGGACGAGCAGTCTTAGGAATGGTATTTCCATCAAAGGAAGGCGCTGGGATTGGCTCGCGGGTCCTTCTGGTTTCTGTATCTGTAAGTCAGCCAAACACCAAGGATCTGGAAAAACAGAAAAACAAAATAGAAGAAAAACATTAAGTAACCTAAGGAAGCCTATATACACACTACATGGTCAAAGGTCGGTGGAGTTTTGACCATCACAGCTTTATGATCTTGGATATTCCATCCAACTTCATACCTTATACTAAACCCTCCCTCAACACTTTCCTCTTTTGACCTCGCTACTACCGAAGAGGTTACTAAGGTTTTCTCAGAATCCCGTCTCGCTACCTGCCCCCTGGATCCTGTCTGCTCACAACTACTACGGTCACCCTCTTCTTCCATCCTATGCTCCCTCACTCACATCTTCAATCGCTCCCTCTCTAACGGTGCCTTCCCCTCCCCTCTAAAGCATGCACACATCACTCCCATGCTTAAAAAGTCCTCCCTGGATCCCACCACCCTGAACAACTTAAGACCCATCTCCCTGCTGCCATTTACCTTTAAACTCCTAGAATGCTTAGTCTACAATCGCCTGAGCTCCTACCTCACCGACAACAACCTTCTTGACCCTTTACAGTCTGGCTTTCTCTCACTCCACTCCACTGAAACTGCTCTACTAAAACTCACTAATGATCTACTAACAGCTAAAACCAATGGCCACTACTTCATACGCTTACTACTTGACCTCTCTGCGGCTTTTGATACGGTTGACCATCCCCTCCTCCTAAAAAAAACTCCACTCTCTTGGCCTCCGAGACCCTGCTCTCTCCTGGTTCTCCTCCTACCTATTGCAGCACTCCTTCAGCGTTACCTATAACTTTGCCTCCTCCTCTCCACTTCCTCTTTCTGTAGGGGTCCCTCAAGGTTCTGTTCTTGGACCCCTTCTCTTCTCCATCTACACCTCCTCCTTGGTCACTTGATAAACTCCCATGGCTTTAAGTACCATCTCTATGCTGATGACACACAAATCTATCTTTCTACTCCTCACCTCACCCCTTCAGTCTCCTCTCGCATTACTAACCTACTAAGTGACATATCGGCATGGATGTCACTCCAGTTCCTCAAACTCAATCTTTCCAAAACTGAGCTCTTAGTATTCCCCCCAGCCCGTGCCCCCTCCCCTGACTTCTCTATCAAGATCAATAACACAAACATCAGTCCCTCCCCTCATACCATGGTACTAGGTGTAATCCTAGACTTCCATCTGTCCTTTCAGTCCCAAATCCAATCACTGTCCAGATCTTGTAGACTTCACCTCCGCAACATCTCCAAGATACGCCTGTTCCTAACTTCGGAAACCACTAAGCAACTTATTCACTCCCTTGTTATCTTTCGCCTTGACTATTGTAACTCCCTCCTCATTGGCCGACCTCATCGCAGGCTGTCCCCTCTTCAGTCTATAATGAATGCTGCTGCCAGACTCATCCACCTCACCAACCATTCTGTATCGGATAAAATTCAAAACATTAACAATAATATATATAGCTATTTATAACTCTGCCCCAAATTACATCACCGATCTTGTCTCCAAATATCACCCAAACCTTATTCTCCGCTCCTCGCACGACCTCCTGCTTTCTAGCTCCCTTGTCTCCTCATCCATTCTTTTCTCCAGGACTTCTCCAGAGCTTCCCCCATCCTCTGAAATTCTCTACCCCAATTTATCAGACTATCGCCTACTCTGCTCACTTTCAGGCGATCTCTGAAAAACTATCTCTTCAGGGAAGCCTATCCTGCCGTCAGCTAATAATGGAATCTTCTACTCTTCCTACCAGTCCATCCCCCACAGTTACTACCTTTTGTACCACTAGCCCCTCCCTCCTAGAGTGTAAGCTCCGAGGAGCAGGGCCTTCCTATCCCTCTTGTATTGAACTGTATTGTCTCCCATTATATTGTAAAGCGCTGAGCAAACTGTTGGCGCTGTATAAATCCTGTATAATAATAATAATCCAGAACCATGGATATTATTAAGGAGTTAGCCTATTTTTGTGGCTGTAATGTATCCACTCTTCTGGGAAGGCTTCCCAGAAGATTTTGGAGGGTGTCTGTGGGAATGTGTTCCCATTGAGTCCAAAGAATATTTGTGAGGTCAGGTAACGATTTGAACAAGAAGACTTGAATCACAATTGGCATTTAATTTTATCCCAAAGGTGTTCAGTAGGGTTGAGGTCACTTTTCTGAAAAGATTTTCCTTAAGATGTTGGATGAGAAGACCTGGCTCACAGTCAGCATTCTGGTTCATCCCAAAGATGTTCAGTAGGGTTGAAGTCAGAGCTCTGTGAAGACCACATGAGTTCCTCCACAATGTGTCTAGTATGTCCAAAGTCTTAAGTTAAAAGTCTTTTTCTTCAGCAGGCTTTTATGGAAAGCTGATCTGATCACATATACAGTACTCTTGGGAAGGGGGGGGGGGGGGAAACCCTACTCCCCCACCCACTCTGTGGATCCCTAGCTCTCCTGCTAATCCTAGGAGCCCAGGACCACAACAAACACTGTCAGAATGCAAGTGGGAAGAGCCTAGGGAACATCAATTCCTCTTCCTCGATCTCTGCTAAGAACCCAGGAAATACTCAGCTCTGAGCATTTCCCGGGCTCAGAGATGTCAAAATTCCAGCTGAAAATCCAGGTGCATAGTCTGTACTTGGTCCATTCGAACAGAGGGCAGGGGAGACAGAGGTCCAATAGAGGATCTATCACCTGCCAAATGCTCTCACATAAGAGAAGAAACTTGTGATAGCAATAAAGGCGACTATAAAATAGAAATGAAAAAAAAGTATTAAAACTTAAAAAAAAAATAAAAAAATAAAATTAATAGCACCCGAGCACATTTACTGGTGGAAAGGAATATCTATGGGAAGCAGCCTCATCCAGAAGACGAGTATTGCAGCCAGAGCTGAATTTTTTTGTTTTAAACCCCAGCTAGAGGACTCTTTAAAAATGTTTCTTTACTCTTTGCATAGAGCTGGGCTTTATAAAAAAATAAGCCAACATCTGATGATGTCAGCCCCTAGTCAATGGGGTTATTTTAGGGAATAGAACCCTTGCCAAGTTTTATTCCAATATGGTGTCTTCATTGGGGACATAATGTAAAGGAAAGAGGTGGACTCCAATTACGTGGTCAGTTCAACCCAAGTGCTGCAGTGACCAACTGGTTGGAGCTGCTCATAGAACTCTTGTAAGGTTGGGGTCAGCCTGTGGCCAGGTGACTGGTAGATCGGGCCCACCATCCCAGAGCCTCAAACAGAGTGCAATGCAACATGTAAAAGTTGGAGCTGTAGTAGGGAGCAAGAGCCACATAAGCCGATGCCTCCTCTGTAGTGCCGGCTCCTGTCTCATGCGGAGTGATATCAACTGAGCTCCATCTCTTATGCCAGTTAGCGGTCTCCAGAGTAGGGCCAGCAGCAGGAAAGAAGGGATCTTCAGGTGAAGCAATACACTAGGCATAATAGTATAGGTCTGCTTTCACACTGATATGCTGCGGTTTACCCACACCGCGAGTGCATCTGCAACTTTCCTAGGTTAGCTGAGCTTAGCCATAGACTTCTATTATATGCTGTGGGTTTGGTGCACTAAAAGCGCACCAAAATTCCTGAATGCAGGAAAGTGCACCACCCCTGCAGGATATAATAGAAGTCTAAGGCCAAGCAACGCTAGCCTTGGAAAATCGCAGGTGTACTGCATTGCATCTGTGGAGCAGGTAAACCGCAGCACATCAGTGTGAAAGCAGCCTTACAGGGGGTACAGAACAGTAAGGGTTCGTTATTATTATACAGGATTTATAACACGCCAACAGTTTGCGCAGAGCTTTACAATATATCATTTGCAGTTGGGGGTAAAAAACCCCATGGTTAATACGTGTTTTTACATCCCTGCTCCAAACGCACCCCCTTTAGCTGCAGTGGCTAGGGGTTATACGCCCTTTCTTGGTTGGTGGGTGTAGCGCCTGCAAAGCATGACCCGCGCAAGTGAATGAGGACGCTCTGCGAGTATAGCAAATAAGGCATTAAAGCAGGCAGAGGTGAGTTGCTTTCTCACCACATGTTTTAACCCCTTGGACCCTGCAGAAGCATGCAGTTGTGGGGTGCTTGCAGACTGGCCCCATTTACTTGAATGGGTCGTGATTGGCAGGCGGCAGCACCCACCAAAAGCAACAGGGGGTTTAATTCCTGCTACGTAAGCAGCTAAAGGGGGTAGGAATTGGGGGAGGAAAAACCGTGACTCAACCAAAATGGTTTTACCCCCCCAACTTTAAGTCTGAATGACCCCCAAGGGTGCCACTGCTGAATGCAACTAAGGGCTCATTCACAAGTGCAGGCACTGCTGTTCCTCTTAACCACTTTCCGTCAGGCCGTTTATATAAACGGCCAGACGGTGGCAGTGCAGGGTCAGGTGACAGTTTATAAACGGCCTCCCCGCCTCCTGCTTGTGCACGCTTACTGGGAGCGCGCAGCACAACGATCCGGTGCCCGCTGTGTCCTCCGGACACACTGGAACACCGATCGCAGGACGGAACCTCTGTGCAAGGTCCCGAACATGTGATCACTGATTGGCCAATCAGTGATCACATGCAGAGTAGTAAGCAAGATGTCACTTCTGACATCATTGTAATCATTCACAGATTTCACACGTAGTAAGCAGAGGTCACATGGTACAGGGCTATTCACAACAGCCTTGTACCATGTGACAAACTGTGACCAATCACAGCTCACACAGTAGTTCTCAATGGCTGCAAGAATGCAGCCAAAGAGAAGGAGAAATGATTGCTTTTACAGCCTTTCAGTGTAGAAAAAAAAAAAAAAATCTTCATCACCCCCCACAAGTAGTACAGTGTCACCATGGTGACACTGTACTGCTAGGGTGACAGTATGTAAAAAACAAAAAACAAGGGCCCCCTCGTGTATTGAAATCGTATTGTTACTGTACTGTCTCCCGTTGTAATGTACAGCGCTGAGCAAACTATTGGCGCTATAGAAATCCTGTATAATAATAATATAAAAAATGTTTAAAAATTATAATTTTTGGTTGTAAACGAATTTGGTTTATTAAAAAGATAACGGAATACATTTTGTCCAAGATTTATGATCAAATATTTATTTGCAAAATTTTAGAAGAAAAATACTTTTTTTTTAAATTTTTGGACTTTTTCATTTACGTAGCAAAAAAAAAAAAAATCCCAGCGGTGAATAAATACCACCAAAATAAAGCTTTATCTGTCTCAAAAAATGCTAAAAAAAAGTTCGAATGGGTACAGGTACAGTGTTGCATGAAAATTGGCCTGGTCAGGAAGGGGGGGAAAGTGTCCGCGGACTGGAATTGTCATTCAAAGTGTGGGGAAGCGCTGAAAGCTGAAAATTGTCCGGCCTGGTCAGGAAGGGGGGGGAAAGTGTCCGGACTGGAAGGGGGGGGGAAAGTGTCCGGACTGACTGGACTGGAAGGGGGGGGAAAGTGTCCGGACTGGAAGGGGGGGGAAAGTGGGAAAGGGGGGGAAAGTGTCCGGACTGGAAGGGGGGGGAAAGTGTCCGGACTGGAAGGGGGGGAAAGTGTCCGGACTGGAAGGGGGGGGGGGGGAAAGTGTCCGGACTGGAAGGGGGGGGAAAGTGTCCGGACTGGAAGGGGGGGAAGTGGGACTGGAAGGGGGGGAAAGTGTCCGGACTGGAAGGGGGGGAAAGTCCGGACTGGAAGGGGGGGAAAGTGTCCGGACTGGAAGGGGGGGAAAGTGTCCGGAAAGGGGGGGAAAGTGTCCGGACTGGAAGTGGTTAAAAGCGATCTGGGTGCGTTTGACAGATGGTGAGGTGGCTTTATGTTGCCTCCGCACCACCTGACTGAAACCCATAATTTCCGTGCAATGCAGGCGATTGCGGCACGGTAGTACGACAATTCGCGTTTTAAATCCGATGTGAGGAGGTGACACTGGCCCGTTGATCTTGGACTTCTCCCACATTGCTCTCCACCGCTTTAAAGGTTGCCTACCCCCTGATGTAAAGTTTGATTACTTCATTTGGGAGAATTTCCCTTCTCTCCCCGTAACAGCAACATCTCCCTAAAACCACCCAAGCACCATCTTACCTCTGTAAAACTGAAGAAGAAACCGATTCCACCCACAACTCTCAGCACCTTCTCGGCATGCCTCTCGATTATAGAGCCACACGTGTCACATTCAGCTTTAGATTGAAAACACGGCTGCAAGAAGAATGACTTGTTAGACTAGGTGTCAGAATCCGGAATCTGTACCAAATAGTCATGAGTGAATCTGAGGAAATCGGGTTCATTGGGGGGAAAAAAAGAACATGGTCAAATTTCAATTTTGAACAGGAATTGCACAGAAGTCAATTAGAAACTTTTCTTTTTTTCATGTGCTCATTCTCCCCTTCCTGTTGGTGAGAATACTTTTGTTTTAAAGGTTTATGAAGAAATTGTGTTTGCTTGTTTGTAATATTTACTTTTTGATCTTTTAGAAAGAAGAAAAATTATCTATATGTATGCTTTGTCATAGGGGAATCTAAGGTCCATTCAGAGAGAGAAAACAAGGGGGGCTTAATCCATAAGAAGCAGAAATCTTTACTGGACTTTTACAAGTTTTAAATTCCAAAAAAAAAAAAAATCTCCCACTCTTCACAATCACACCTTATCCATGTCAAAAGTACCTCTGCCTCAGTCAAAAAAAAAAAAAAAAAAAAAAAAGAAGAGGTTGATGTTTTTTATCAAGACAAGTAGTTTGGGAACCCGATTTAGTGGACAAGTAGTTTATTAAAAAATTCCCACACCCCCGAACTTCAATGGAATTAGAAACATTTGATCTAAAACTGTGGAAATTCAAATCTCATAAGCCTGCAGAAGAGGCAGAGGCTTCTGTTTGTGAAACTTACTGCTACGCAGGTTTCGCTGTCATTGATGCTGTGAAATCCGCAACAGTTGAGGTTTTTCTCGATGTCAGGTCTGGCGTTCGCCGTGTGGTTCCAACCCATCTCCAGGAGCTCATTCTGCAAGATAAAGAACATCGGCAATTGCTACAGTCAATGATTTTCTGGGTTTGCTCTGTGATGTCTAAGTGGGTTTTGGAAGTATCCATCATGCCCCATGTGATCTACTTCCATTGGTTTTCGGGCCACTATTAAAAGTTTTGCATTAATCCCCATAGGTTGCTCACATAAGCACGCATGCACGCATGCACGCACACACACACACACACACTGCAGAGTGAATGTCCCTTAAACTTGCCCTCCAAAGGATTTACCCCCCCCCCCCCCCCCTCCTGACCAGGCCATTTTTTGCGATACGGCGCAGCGTTACTTTATCTGACAATTGCGCAGTCATGCAATGCTGCACCCAAATTAAATTTAAGTCCTTTCTTTCCCACGAATAGAGCACTCTTTCGGTGGTATTTGATCACCTGTGCGTTTTTATTTTTTGCGCTATAAACTAATTTTGAGAAAAAAAATATTAAAAACATGTCCAGTAAAAATTTTTTTATTTTTTAAAATATCAAATTTTGTCATACATGTAGGGGAAAATATATGTCATTGCTAAAAAAAAAAAATCCCAATATGTGTAAATCAATTGGTTTACGTGAAAGATACAGAGTCTACAAATGGCGGTATACATACTGGATTTTTTTTTTTTATTTACTAGTAATGGCATCGATCAGCGACTTATAGCGGGACTGACACTGGCCTGTGCGTCTTTTAATTTTTTGCGCTATAAACAAAAAAAGACCGGCAATTTTGAGAAAAAAAAAACAATATTTTTTACTTTTTGCTATTAAACATGTCCAGTAAAAAATTTTAAAAATCACAATTTCATAATAAAATTTAGGCCAAAATGTATTCTGCTCCATGTCTTTGCTAAAAAAAAAATCCCAATACGTGTAAATTAATTGGTTTATGTGAAAGTTATAGCGTTTACAAATGGTGGTATATATATTTGGATTTTATTTATTTATTTTAGTAGTAATGGCAGTGATCAGCGACTTATAGTGGGACTGTGGTGGGCATTCGGACACTGGGGGGAACTGACTTGGTGTCACTGACATCCCCAGTGACACCAATACAGTGATCAGTGCTAATAAAAAGCACTGACATTGTACTAATGGCACTGGGCAGGAAGGGGTTAAAATCTGGGGCAATCAAAGGATTAACTGTGTGCTGTTTCACATTATGTGCTGTGTGTGTGCTTTACACTGTAAGCACACTACTTTGTCTGCTGACAGGGGAGAGAACTGTATTGTTTACATACAGTTCTCTCCCCCGTCAGTAATACTCCGTGATCACCGGGTGCCGGCGAGTAATCACCAGCCGGGACCCGGTGACTAACGGCCAAGGCCGCAAATGGTGGTGCGTGTAGGGCTCGCATGCACTCCCTACCCGGAACTGCAAAATCACGTATATATACACATGTGAGATGGGAAAACAGCTCTCATTGTTTGAACACTGTTTGTGTGCAGTAAATTGTGTGGAGTAAATTAAATGTTCTGAAGTGACATTCTGCGGTTTGGCCACAAGATGCCACTGTTTTCCTAACACAGCCTCAGACTGCATAGATATTTCTATATTCATGACGAGGTGGGGTTTTTCACACAGAGTTTAGAGAACAGGAAGGAGAGAGACAGCAGCCATGTTTTGGAGGATGCTGAATGCAGGAGCCGTGTGAGCAGATAATCTGATGGCATCCAGGTGTGAGAACATCCCTCAGTAACCAGAGCTGCAGCTAAGTGAAGCTGATCGTGTCCAAGACCCTGTTCAGAGAAAGGAAGATTGCTGCCAGGAATGCTGATGAGAGCAGAGAAACAAAGCAACATACACTGCGATACCGCATACTTGTTGGAGAGACATTTGTTCTGTTCAGAATCACCAGCGGATGCAAAGCAGACCTGGTTCGGGAAGATCGTGCACGCACCTCATTTCAGTGTTGGCGCCTAGAGACTGAGTCCAGGCCGATAATTATTAGTTAGGGTCTCTGTGTCAGTCCACAAGTGTTATTACTGATCATTGGAAGGACTCCATAACTTAAAGTGACATTTCACATTGGAGAGCTGATAAAATCCTACAAACTCAAGCCAGACTGGCGTTTTGCTCAGAAGGAATACTCAGGCACGTGCTACAGGACCAGTTATGGGAGGGGGAATACTGTAGGATTTGTGTAAGATTGTAAGCTGTTGTGCTGCACCGCAGGCTAGCCCATACCATACACCCATACACGGATTCCTGCTCTGTAGGGTAATAACAGGGTAAGGTGTGGCAGCTTAGTTGTGCCCCCAGTAGGTAAATTACTACACCTTCTACCTTCATCCATCAGGAGGCGCCGTGCTGTGCAGTACAAGGGTCTCAGCCTTTGGGCTGGGTGTATGTAAATTTATTGTATGTTCCCAGCATTTGTGGTTGTGTTTTTTTGCCACATCTAAGTAAAATTCTGTTGTGGGAAAAGCTGGTGTTGGGGTTGCTTTCCTCATTCGTAACTTAACTATATCCTGGGAAGCCCACCCCAATACACGGCTTACACACACACACACGTGATTTTGCGCACCCGTGCCGCCCTGTGGCAGTATTTCTGCTATAGGGCAGACAGGAAGCGGTTAAAGTCAGCCAGTGTTAATTTTGACATCAAAGTTCGATTACGTTTTAGCCATAGGGGTCAGTTCACTAAAGATTACCGCATACGATAACATGTTCATGAGACTCAGTTGCATAAATTATCACTCGGTAAAAAAATGTCCAATTCACAAAAAATGCAGAAAGAAAAATGTGTCGGTAAATATCACAAAAAAAACATGAAGTCAGAACAGAAAGTAAAAAAAGATGCGATATTTGTTACCAGGGTTTTGCTGGCAGCATTACATGCAATATTTTTTCAGATGGAGTCTGGGGGTTCCCCCCAATCCTTATCAGGTCCTTGGGGTCTGGTATGGATTGTAAGGGGAACCCCACGCCAAAAAATTATTTTTTTTTTTTTTAAACGGCATGTGGTCCCCCCTCAAATCCATGCCTGGCTCTTAGTTCTGGTAGGGACTTTGGGGGGACCCCCGTGCAATTTTAAATTTTGGTGTGGTGTTCCCCCAAAATCCACACCAGTCCTAAGGAACAATTTTTTTTTGTTTTATTATAAATTTTAATAAAATGTTGGCATGGGGTTTTCCTTAAAATGCATACCAGATCTGAAGGGCCTGGTATGAATAAGGGGGGACCCCACGCTGTTTTTTTCCCTATAATTTTTAAATGCTGGCATGTTTTTTTTACATTCAGCTGTCAACAGGAAACCCGCTGACAGCTGATAAGGTTGTTAAGGACACCGCGGTTGGCTTCTGCATCACCCTATAGCAGAAATACTGCTACAGGACAGCACGTGTGCGCAAAATCACACACACACACACATATATATATACATGACTTTGCAGTTCCGGCTAGGGGTGGCGTGCGCTCCCTACCCACGCCGCCATTCGCAGCCTCGGTCGATCGCCGGATCCCAGACGGTGATTACTCATCGGCACCCGGCGATTGCCGAGTATCTCCGACGAGGGAGAGACCTGTATATATATATATATATATATATATATATATATATGTGTGTATGTATGTATGTATGTATGTATGTATATATATATATATATATATATATATATATATATATACATACACACATACACATATATACATACATACACACATATATATATATATATATATATATATATATGTATATATACACACATACACACACATACATATACACACACAGATCTCTCCCGTCAGCTCCTGCACACTGCTTTGTATGGCTATGCATAGCTGACCAATACAAAGCAGTGTGCTTACATAGTAAAACACACACAGCACACAGAAAAACAGCACACAGTTAACCCTTTGATCGCTTCTCATGTTAACCCCTTCCTGCCCAGTTCCATTAGTACAGTGTCAGTGCTTTTTATTAGCACTGATCACTGTATTGGTGTCACTGGGGATGCCAGTGACACCAAGTCAGTTTCCCCTCAGAATGCACGCCGCAGTCCCACTATAAGTCACTGATCACCGCCATTACTAGTAGAAAAAAAAATCAGCCATTTGTAGACGCTATAACTTTCACGTAAACCAATCAATTTACACGTATTGGGTTTTGTTTTAGCAAAGACATGGAGCACAATACATTTTGGCCTAAATTTATGACAAAATTTGATTTTTTAAAATTTTTTACTAGACATGTTTAATATATATATATTATTTTTTTTTCCCCTCACAATTCTCAAGTCTTTTTTTGTTTATAGCACAAAAAATTAAAATCCGCACAGGCGATCAAACACCCCCGAAAGAAAGCTCTATTTGTGGGGAAAAAAAGGACAAATTTAATTTGGGTGCAGCGTTGCATGACCGCGCAATTGTCAGTTAAAGTAATGCAGCACCATATTGCAAAAAATGGCCTGGTCAGGAAGGGGGGGGGGGGATCCTCTGGAGGGCAAGTAGTTAAGAACCAGCAACCAATAAATTACCGCAATACTGATATTTTATCGCAAGAGTTATTTACTGCAAAATTCTTAGTGAATTGCACATTTGCAAAATATTTACTGCATGCTTTTTTTTACCACATTTTTTCAGTCGTTTGTTATCTCTTCATGAATTGATCTCATAGTCTTTTCACTAAAACGCCACTTTAGTTTTAGTCATATTTTAGTCACCTAAAATTGTGTTAATTTTGTTGACAAAATTAACACTGAAGTCCACAAAGCTGGTGGAGCTGGGACAGTAGTATTCATGCCCTTCTTTGCAGGCTTGAATTTTTTTTCTAATTATATCAACAAGGACATAAGGGAACCCCCCCCCCCCCCAAAAAAAAAAAAAAAAAAAACTCCAAAAAAACACGGACATAAGGAAAAATTAAAAAAGCAAAAAATCAATACAGCCAATGCTGCCAAGCAGGAAGCACAGCATGAGTAAATATGGCAGATTGACTGCACTAAGATGGAACTCCAGACTTTTTTTTTTGGAGGAGAAAATGAAAA